CAGTTAAAAACTGGAAATTAGTAAATTTGAACATTGAAAAAGATTAAGTAGTTTACGTCTCACTTGGTTTATAAAGGCGTATTGCGAAAAAAATTTTAAAAAATATTTTTAAAAAAGGCAATTTATATTATTTTAGAGGGTAAAATGTATTTAGTAAATACATTTAACCCTTACACAGATAAAACTTTCTAATTTAATTTATATTAAGGAAATTTAAACGTATTCATGCGGCTTTGAATTTATTAAGCAAAAATGTAATTTTTTAAACAAGGAAGAAATAAGAATGGTAAAAAATTGGTAGAATTTAAAATATAATCCGAAATACGTTGACGAATGAATATTATTTTAGCAATTAAAAGGAGGTTATCTCGTAAAATTAGCTCAGACCCCCCATTCAAACATTTTCATATCTAATTATTGAAGAGTAATTTGTACGAGTGAAACTTTTAGGTTTCACAAATTTTATGTCGTTAATTTATTATTAGTTTTTTTTTACAGTCACATGAGTTAGCTTTTTATCTTATAATCTTCCGTAATTTTATGAATATCCCACGCTTCCTTTATTGTTGCATATGTACTTAAATTTACATCAATAATTTAATTTTTGACTTTCTCTCCTACATATTCCAAAAATGGGACATCCTTTTTTTTAATTTTATTTCTGTTTTGTTTAACAACACTATATTGAGAAAGTGTTAATCAAATAATTAAGTGCATACTTAATTTAAAATTTTCCTATTTGCCTTAAATAATATAATTAATGTTTAATTTTAAAAAATATTTAATTTTACTATTTGCTTTAATACATGTATTTACAAAACACATTGTCTTATGCCATAATTCTACCAAAATTTTTATTGAATAAGTAGTTGCTTTTTTTAATTTTTAATTTTGCAGCATTCTTAGCAGGTGTTCTTTGAATTTATTTAACAAAGTATAAAAATTAAGAATATCTCATTACATGCACACCAACCAACATCATTATAAAAAGCAGGTATTAAAAAATTTAATAACTATTCTTGGATAAATTATTTAATCTTCAATCGAAATGTGACCTTGGATTAATAACTTGTCTGTCGCTCAAAAAATATGAAATAACAACAAAATTTTAGATAAATGTATGTATGTATATATACTTGCATACTTTTATAATAATATAAAATTTACTTACTTACTTTGAGTATATAAAAAAAAGATTCTAGACAAAAAGCACAAAATAAAAAAAATAAAAATGAAAACAAAATCCGCGTTTGCTCGGCTATATTATTTTATTTGTGTTTACTATACAAAATAATTTTAAAATTTATGAGTTTTTTTGAATGGGGTCTCAAACAGCTATACAAAACTAAATAATTAGCTACCTATGAAAATTATCTAAACGTACGTACATAGTCTCGAATAAATAAGCAACCTACTATAATAATAATAATGGAGCTTAACTTTTGATAAATTAGTTACATTATTGACTAAGTAAATGTGTATTAATGTTTTGTTTAGGTAATTTGTATGTTAACTTAAATACTAAAAGTTAGTGCGAATGTAAATAAATAAAAACTTAGAATGTAAAAATCTTTAAACATTTGTTGAATCTGCAGATTAGTATTAAGACTAGCAAAAGTATGATATTTTTTACAATTATATTTTAAAAAATAAATAAATACTTAAATAAATAAGTAAATAATTAAAAAATTAAAACTTTTCGAAAAGAAATTTAAAATATTAAGTATTTTATAATTAAGCTATTTAATTTAATCATTAATTTTTTAAACATTTAGTTACAGAAAAATTGCACAAGTGCTACCATTATCTTTTTAAATATAATTTGTTGGCTGTGACTACATTTGCTGGGTCTCTTTTTGAGTTTTGAATATACGAAAACTGAATGAATTTAACGTAATACTCGTACTCTAATGGTTTCAAATTGCATAATGATCAATTAACTAGCTGAAAGGTTGTAATCAATTTCATTCTTGGTGAAATGGAGTCCCTAGAACGTGAAATGAAAACCAAAACTAAGTAGATTTGATTTTTGTTGCGTTTTACTGTTTAATTTGACGCTAACTACAAAAGTAAAAATAGTTTTAGCGTTTGTAGTCTGCCTTATCTAACTTTGAATTAATTAAACTGAATTAAAAAAAAAAATTGAAGGTTTAATGTTAAGTTTCATTATTGGCAATTTACATAAATATAAATTAAAACTACTAATTTCAAATAATTTAACTCAAGTTTAAGTGATTGCTGTTAAAAAGCAACAGCCCCTATGTAAGTTTGTTCAGAATAAACTTATTTTGAGTTTACATTTTTAATTAAGAATAAAGAAGGAACATTCCTAATGTTATGTGTTAACTAACGTGCACAATGAAGTAAGTATCTGTAAATTGTATTGCAAAAAAAAAAAAGAAAAAAAAATGTAAATAATTTTTAATAATAAGAAAAAACAAAGAAGAAAATTGTCAATTTTCTCTAAAATTAATAATTTTGTTTACAGAACTAACGATAATGTTATAACGCTAAAGTAGTTAGTTACTTATTTGACATTTTTTTAGTACATTTCCAAAAATTTCAAAAGAATGTACTTATTTATTATGTTAAGAACAACGTATGTCGTCTAATTTTCTGTAACCTTAAATTATTAGTTTGTTAAAAATACTTATGACTAATAGGACTGAACTTATTTCCGTATAATCTAAATTTTTAAATTTCCCTTTCTTATCTCCCTTTTTAAGGATAATCGCTTCAATCTAATTTTAAAAATTAGAAGTAAAATTATAAATACATAGTTCCAATTCAAAAGGTTTTGTTTACTTATTTTAGAAATGTTGAATTTTATCCTCCACAAATTTAATATAAAGTTCAATAACAAAATTTTATTTTATAAGGAAGTAAATAAGAAGGAGGTGTGTAGGTACTTAAATTAAATTTCTGATAATTGAAAGCTAAATTTTTGTAAACGATTGATTAGAAGTTTAAAGTTAGAAACGAAGCATAAGTTGCGCGAACAGAAGAAAAAATTAAAAAAAAATGTTTTGTATCGATCATTATTTTCAGTTTTAATTGTTTTCACTCTTCTTTTTTTTAATCATGTTCAACATTTTCAATTTGCTTATTTCTGATAAGATAAACTTATAGATAACAATAAAAATTAATTTTGCATTTTTTTTCATATTTATATAATTTATTACTTTTTTTGTTACTATTTTTACTACAGGTAATTAGGTGTGTTTTTTATTTTGTTATCTCGCAAATCAACGGAAATCATAGAAAAATTAGCCGGTAATATTATTTAGACCGGTCTAAATAACCACTATTATTATTAATTCAGTTTTATGAACTTATAGGTAATCAATACTATTGAGCTGTAAAGAATTTTTTCAATTATATATGAGGAATTAAATAAATATAAGTTTAAAAAAAAGTTAATTCTAAATAAATACTGGCAAACATAGCCTTCCTACATGTTTTTTTGAAGATTTGAAGATACTGAAACAAATTCTAAAAGAAATTAGTATAAATCATGCTTAATGAATTTGAATATCGCTAACTATAGGCTTAGTACGTTTCTGAACAAGATAACTATATAAGGAGTAAGTATAAATCAAAAATCGCTAACATTTTTGAAATAAAATTTTATTTGTTTTTTACGAGATTTTTGCATTATTTTAACACAATTTTGTTCGACTACGATCTCGAACGTTGTAAGCGTTTAAAATATTTTAATTCATTATTAACATAATAACATAGGTAGGTGGGTAACTACTTATTTTAACATAAGTATTAAGCATACTTTCTGTACAATATTGATCAAATACAAATAAAATTAATTTTATTTTTAGTTGAAAATATGGAGACTGACTATAGGAATATTATATATTTTTTTTCAATACTTTAAAAATGAACTTTAAAGACCTATATTATTATATTTTATTTATTCCACACGTTTTATTTTAAGAGAGCCTAGTACTGAACCGTGCTGAATTAAGGCTGCTCTACCCTAACTGCTCTACTAAATAGAAAGAACCTAAGTAGTTAAGTTGATAAACAGTTCGAATAAAACCTTGTTTTATATATTTAAGGCAGGTGCAAATTTTTTAACTTTTCCTAGTATTTCACTCCCTATATAATAAAGAGGTACACTAATATATACATATATGTATGTGAATAATTTATTCGTAGGTATAACTACAAATTCATATTTTCCGTTAATAGTTAATTAATATAATTATTCCTTGAAAGGATTTCTATTTACTTAAATTTTCTTTTTAAATTTTTAATTTTAAACAAATCAGAAATAATTTATCGAAATAATTATTTTTAATAATTTGAAAATCAAAACATAAGGAAAGTCTACTTTATTTCCAAATGTATACTTATATGCACAGCATACATTTTTGATTCTTTCATAACTGAATATACATTAATACATACAATTACCATACAATACATGTTTGCCTTAATTATTTATGTATATAAAAGATGAAAATAAGATATTTATACAGATCTTATATATTATATTATATAAAAATTTAAGTGCGATTGCATATTTGTTGATGTTTCTTTTTATAAACAATGAAATTATCCCTTTACCAATTACTTAGTAGATAATATATTTTTTCCAAAAACTCTGATTCACAATTTTGATTTATATATGCATATACATACAAACATAAGTACATATTATGAACATACATATGTATGCATAAATAAAAAATATGTTTTGATGATTTCATTCAAGAATAAGCCGATTTTTAAGAATTAACCGAAATAAATTGTTTTGGTCTAAGTAAAATTACATTAATTTTAGAATTGATGAGTTTTTAAAATTATTTCATTTTAATTGAGATAAAACTTGTTATTCCGCTATGTTAATCAAGTTTTTGTAATAATATTTTTATTCAAAATTAATCAAAAATTTAAATAAAATTAAAATTAAATAAGAAATTATTTTATAACCATTCATAAAGTAGCATAAAACAAAAACATTAATAATTAAATAAAAATACCTTGCCACACTCAGCTGCTGGAGAATTTTCTATTATGTCATAAATAACATGAGGATATCCATGTGCACCCAATAATGAAAATCCAAAGCCAGATATTTCACTTCGTCTTAAAACTACCATTAAATCTTCAGCCATTTTTAGATGGCTGTTTTGTTATACAACGGCAGCCACTTATAATGTATATATTTATACAAATATATATGTTTTTATAATTCTTTTTATTTTAGGTTTTTTGCTTTTATTGAACTGTTTGTTTTTGATACTTATTTTAAACACAGAAATTCAAAAAATTTTCAATACAATCACAACCAAAAATTTAAACTTCTCTTAAAAAAAAGAAACAACACTCCTCAAATTCAATGTAAGATGAAACAATAAAGGAAAAAATTCAAAAAAAAAAAAACAAGAAAAAAAATGAAAAAACAATTTAAATGCTTGAAAAATTTCAAATTTTCTTAATTAATATTGATTTTATTTTTAATGACGTAGATTTTTTATCGGTTCGATAAAAACCTATTAGAAATATGGTTATATTTGTATTACTATTTTTATAATTAAAATTTATATTTTCTTTATAATAAATTTTCTTTCAACTTTTTTAATAAAATTTTATATTATTTTTGAAATTTTAAAGAGAAATATTACTTTTATTTCTTCCTTACAACAAAATTAAAGAAACAAAACTCAATACCTTGATCGTTGTTAAATCCAGCGAGAAACTGGAAAAACATTTTGTTTTATGTTTTCTTTGCTTTTCAAATCAATTTGTAAAATAAAGAACGAGATAAGTATACTATTGTTAATGGAGTTTTTGGAATAATAAACAGAGAAAGAATGTGGCGTTTAATTAAAATGGAACGTTTTGTTTTCAAAGGTTTAAGTTGTCAAAATCATTAAAAATAATTAAGGTAGGTTTACACTATTATGAATTACGATAAACATTTATACTAATTTTAGAAAATGAAATGTGCAATTTTGTATAAAATTGCAAGTCACGTTGGCTTCTTTCTTGTAAATATTGACTTCATGATTGAATAAAATAATCAGTAGACTATGAAAAAATATCCGATTTTTACGTTTTTGTCTCATCGACGTAATGAATAATACATCAAAGCAATAAATAACAATTTTAAATTTTGACAATTTGTATGCAAGTGTTTTGGATTTCAACCCTCGTTTCATTTCAAGTATATTTATAAAATTTACTTCACGCCATAAGTATCAATAAATAACGTACTCAAATTTTTCAACTCAATATAAAATAATTTGTAATATTTTAGTACTTATCCTATGTTTTATGACAGCAAATTCTAATCAATAAATATTTCCGTAAAATCTTGTCTTCGTCTCATTTTTCAGCATCATTACTTTTGTAAGAAATCAAATTGCTTTTAACTGTTTATATATATTTATAAAACTCATTGAGATGAATGATCCGGTGAATAAATTCAGATTTCCATCTGAAAAGTTTTCATTTTATTGATATACATATAAGGAAAGAAGTATTAACCCATTTACTACGAGACACAATAAATGTTTAATAAGAATTATAACTCGGAAAATAGCTTTATGGCAAAATTTTTTGGCTATTAATATTGAATACTAAAAAATGTTGTTTTAAAACTGCATTTTACAAGACCACATACAATAAAGGGTATGGGTTAAACTATGTGTAAAAAACGAGACAAATTAACAGGACATTGTTGGAGATAATAAAAATAATTTATTTAATATATCTATAATTGTTATTAATTCCAAATCGTGTTTCCTATTTTTAAAATATTATTGTGAATACAATGCACTAACGAGCATTTTCCAGTATTTCCAATATTCTTAGATGACTTTTTAAATGTCACAATTTTGCCGATTTTGTGATAGGTGTTGTCAAAATAAGATTGCAACAACAAAAAAAAAAATAACACAAGAACAAAACGTAATTTGTAGGTAACAGAAAAAAAGAAAGGAAAATTAAGTGAAGTGAAGGACCGTTCAATCGACCAGTATTTAGATCAAACTCTTGAAGAATTTATTTAGCATAACAATATCTACATTATATTATTAAATGGCACTAATAAAAGAAACTTTACCTAATTATTTATCAAATTTGCCTATTCCCGATAGCTTTGGGGGATGGTTTAAATTATCTAGTAAGTTTTTATAATTTTAAAAATTTTAAATAACAATGGGTAAAATATTTTAATATGCTCTAATTAACCTGTTTTTGATTCGGTAATTTGAGCTTTCCGAATGTTTTGATATAATTTTTGTTTTCAATTGCAAAAATATGATATTGCTTAAAATATGATTATGCAATTCGAAGGCTAAATAAATACACGTATAAAAAAGTAGGTTTTCTTATTTTACATTATAATACATAAGTATGTAGGTACATACGATAACCCCATTTCAATATTTCTAATATTATATCAAAATGAAATTTGCCTAAGCCTAAAATTTTTTTGTACATATTAGGCATGTTTTAAATTTTTTTGTACAGATTATATTTAATTACTTTTACGGTTTTTAAAAATAATAGGTAGATACCTACGTATCTATGTTTCTCTTTGTCAATAATATTGCTATAATTTAATAATCTCATTTACACTATATACTCATCTACCTGGACTACACGTGTAATTAAATAACTGTATTGAAAAAATGACTGATCAAATTTATAAATTTCAGTCACTGACTGGTTGCAACTGATCCCTCCTACTGCCGTTGTTGCTGGAATTGGTTATATGTCATATTTAGCTTTTTGTCCAAAAGCAAGACCACAATGTAAACCAGGTACATGCAATCAAAAAATTAAGAAAAGTGTTGATAAAGTCGTCGATATGGTCGATATAGAAGATATATCTGAAAAAGCTGCTTTTTGCCGTTGTTGGAAAACCAAAAATGTAAGATTTTTTAAGATATAAACTGTGATTAAAATATTTATAAAATTTTTTATAAAATTTTATAAGTCTTTTGTGCATAAATGCAATTTTTTAAAAATTTGAATCATTTTAGTGGCCATATTGTGATGGAAGTCATACTGAACACAATAAAAATACTGGGGATAACGTTGGACCACTTGTAGTTAAAAGAAAAGGAACGTAATTTGGCTCGAATTTCAATAATGCAGTCCCGCTATTTGGCAAGGAAAAAATATCATTTACTTGAAAGCATTTTATTTTTATAGTAAAAGTACTAGTTTCCAGTATAAAAACAAATTAATATTTGAAGCTAAGCTTGTATTAAAAAGTGTAGTAACAATAATTGTTCTCATAATTTCAATCTTATTTACTACGCTTTACCTTCTCGTTTTGGAAATATTGGTTGAAAATAAAATTTGGGTTTATAAAAAAATATAATTTTTGAATATGCGTACTTACATACATAAAAAACATCTGTTTGATGTACTGTTATTATTTAGGTAGGAACTTGATAAACTGTTTTCTGTCTGAATAAGCGTAATTTATGTATAGCGTTGAAAACGTGTATTAGCGAAATAATTGTGCAAATATATATTTAAAATTTTAATTTATTTATTGGTTAATATTCTGTAATTGCGATAATCAATACTTCAAAGAAATTTAGCATAAAATCTACGAAAACATCTGCTATTACAAAATAAACCATAAGCAATTACAAATATGGAAGAATGGATACGGATTAATTGGTGTACACATAACCACAAAATTGCTCTTATGAAGTATGTATGTACTTATTAGAAAAAGTATGATGTAAGCACTCTGTTGAAATTTAAGGTCCTTCACGTTAAACGTTATATTTTAAGCATATGGAAAAAGTACATAACTTATCCGTGATTGAAACATATCTATTGCAGAATTTTGATTCCTTGCTAAATTTTTTATCTGACAAAAAAAAACTAAATGTAAACTTTTGATTTCATATAAAAATTAACTTTTATTTTCAGCAAAATAGTTTTTTAATTGGACAAAAATTATGTATTTTATTTGAAAATTTTTCCTTGATTAAATTTACGTCCTTTCTTGTCTTCCCCAGTCCAAGAAAGATATTGCTGAACAAGTTTTTTAGTTTCTTCAGATGCCGGATCTAATTTTTTCCATTCGTAACAGTCGTAATCGATTTGCCAATCTGGTGATTGTGTGAACATAAGATCTTGACCACGCCATATCCAAATACCAGAAATGGAGCTATTGTTATCTTCACCAAATAAGCATACTGAAGCAAACGAATATTTTCTCATCTTATCCAAACGTTGGAACATACCAGTGATCAAATTACAACTCATAAAAACTTTAGTTAACTCATCGTTATATTTATATTCCCCAAACCAAATTGAGCAATCACCGGCATTCTCATTGAACTTATCCCAAAAGTATGGAATTGATTTTGATTCATCTTCATTTGAATAGACACGTTTGAATGTTTCAAAATCAAATCCTTGGACAGCTGGAGCTGCTTCTTCTTCCTCTGCGACAGCAGTGGATTCTTCAGCAGGTTTAGTTTCCTTTTTTTTTTCTTGTTTACCTTGTTGCTTTTTTTCATCTTTTTGTTTTCCTGATGGTCTTGCAAGAAATTCGGAATATTTTTTAGCATCGAATTCTAAAGTCTTAGTACATAATTCGAATGGCTTTACAACGGCTTTAACTTGAGGTTGATTTAAGATTGTGGTAAACCATCTAGTTACAGAACCATATGGTGCACGTAAGGACGGTTCCAAAACATATTGGTATAAATGAATGAGATTGCAGAATACAATAATATCAGCTAAAGTGATACGCTCGCCAACCAAAAAAGTATTGTGGATTAATCTTTTATTTAAGATTTCTAAGGCTGCAGTTATGTCCTCCTTAGCATTTTGAATGACTTGCTTATTATTCTGCATTATACTGAGTAACGGAAATACCCATGCGCATGAAGCTGGAAGGATTTCATTATCAGCAAAGCTAATCCATTGTTGAATTTCAGCTTGTTGAAAGTCATTTGTACCACGCAATTGTGTATTAGCTAAATAAAAAGCGATTGCGTTACTTTCAAGCAGATATTTACCATCAGCTGTTTCGAAAGCTGGAACCTGATAAACCAATCCAATGTCAATTTTAATTGCAATATACAAATTTAAAAAAATACTTACTTTTCCCGTTGGGAATTTTTGTAAATATGCGGCAGTTTTGTTAGTTTCACCAAAAACAAAGTCTTTTGCAACATTTACTTTAGCACCAGAAAACTGTGCTGCAATTAAAGCTTTATAAGCACGGAAGTTTTCATCGTATGTGTATAAAGTCTGAAAAAGAAATATTTTATATAAAATGGTCAAAATATATTGTACCGCTAAATAGTTACCCCAGCCATTTTGCCACGGTTTGGTTACCTGTAATGGAAATTTTTATCGATTAATATCTTTTAAGGTACTAGTCATCCGGGTTAAAAATATATTTTTTTTTAGTCTCTGTTATACTATTTATAATATTATTTCCTTCTTTTGAATTAATATGTTGTAAATACTTAGAAATTATTTTAATTTTATACCGCAATTTTCCTACTCACCTTTGAAATTCAACAAAATTTTGGAAGAAAGAAATGACAAATATGTGTTGCCGTTGCTTCTTACCAGCTAAATATAAAAGTGATGCATACGTGTAATGTGCAAGTATAATACGTAGCTTGACAATTACAAGCATGTCCGTACTGATGTTTAGGTAGATTTTTGATAATTTAACAAGGTTTATCATACATACGGCAAAGAAGATGTCAAATTTTTGTTAACTAAATTTTTTTCTTACTTCAGAAGAAATTAAAGCAAGTAGGCAGAAAAGTTAAAATTAATTTTTATGTGTATACATACATATATGTTTTTGCTCTTTATTTTAAATTTTTTTCATCAAATTATGCGACAATATATACAACACCGCCCTGGTAAGTATAAGAACACCACTGAGCACGTAAAATGACCGACTCTCATTTTGCTTTTATGATTTTTAAAAAAATTTATAGAGTTTATATGAAGAAAAAAAATTTTCATCGTTCTTTTATGTATTAAGTCATTTGCATCTAAAAATATTTTAATATAAATAAATTTTGGAGCTTTATTTTGGTGTTCCAAAAAAAAAAGAAGGAAGTTTGTATTCAAAATAAATTTTATTAAAAATATGTTTCCTAAAAATTATAGAAATTCAAACGATACAAACCTTCTCTATTGCCATTTAACAGGTTACTGAGTTAAATTATGGAAGAAAAATCAAAATAAATTTTAGATTGAAAAATTTTTATAGGGTAGTTCACAAAACTCTAAACATATTTTGCTTTTAATAGAAAATTTGACTTATATTTATCTTACCCAGCATTTACACGTACAAGTTACTTGCAAGAAAGTTGCAATACATACAAAAATTTTACTAACACATTGAAATATTTCTACTTGCTTGTTTACTTGCAGTTCAACTTGCAAGAAAATTTTGCTGCCAGTAATTTGAGCAAGTAATTTGACATATTGAGAAATTCACAAAAAAAAATTTGTTGTTTTGATTTTTTTTTTTTTTAATTTAAAATTTTTGAATTTTGTTTTGAAAAAATTAAACTTAGCAAACTTATGGTTTCTAAAATTTATAAACAATTATATATATTGCTAGTTGTTTTCTTCTCAAAGACATTTTCAAAAATTAACTTGCTAAACGCCTACGTCATAATAGCAAGTAATTTGACATTTCGAAAAACTAATTGACAATTAATATTATACAAACTTGCATGCAAGTAACTTGTATGTGTAAATGCTGGGTTACTAGGGCAGTGTATACAATATACAATTAAATAATATTAAATAATAATAGTAGGAAATATTAATTACATAGATGGTATGTAATTTGTATTATATAGTTATTTGTACTTTTTCAACAAAAAATTATTGTAAATGTGGGTTGTCGTGCAAGTTGTCATACAAATATGGAAGCTCTCTAAACATATATGTTATGATAATCGTTCTACTTAAATGCATTAAATCAATTGTTGATGATATTGAGAAACAGAAAATTCTGTCTTTAAAAAGAAGAAATAAATTCTACAAAAAGATTATCTGTGTATAGTTCTTTAAATCCTTCAAAGGGTAAGGGTCAAATTGTTACACTTTTTTTTGCTTGCCATCTTATTAAAACCATATGTTAATGTATTTTTTTTAACAATGAAAAATAATTATGAAAACAAAGGCAACAAAATGAATGTTGCATGAATGAAAAAAATTGTTGTCAATTTTGAAAAAAAGTATTTTGTCAATTGCGTTTCATTATTAAAACCAATATACAAACATTTATAATTGTGTTGTATTTTCCCGTTTTTACGATATTTACGCACGTGTTATCTATGTGACATCAAAAATTAAAATTTTTGAAATAATGGAACAAAACCTTCAAACATATTTAAATTAAAGAAGAAATTTTAAAATATTTTTTTACCTATGAAACGGCGACTCACTTTTGCATTTTTGTTTTGACATTGACAGTTTCAAAAATAAGATAAAAACTAAAAGCATAATAAACAAATATTTTTTGCATAATAATATCAATATGCATTTTTGATAAGAAAAATTTTCAAATTGATTCAATTTACTAATGAATGTTAATCATTTTTACCTTGTCTTTTAATTTTATGTGAAAATATATATATGTTACGAAAAGCAATGGGTGATATAGATGTAAAAGCTGGAGTTTTGTCGATTTTAAGTCGAGTTGAAGCAGCTTATGCAAAAAAATCAGAAGTATGAATTTATATGCTAATGGTAATAATTAGAAGGAATTTTTCCGCAAAATTCATTTTTTAGAATTCTCAACAACCAAAACCACTATTAGTAGCAGTAAGTAAAACGAAACCAGTAGAAATGATTATTGATGCCTATTCAGTCAATCAAAAGCATTTTGGAGAAAATTATGTTCAAGAATTAGAAGAAAAAGGATTTAACGAACATATTTTGCAGAAGTGTCCCGATATTAAATGGCACTTCATAGGACATTTACAAACTAATAAAATTAACAAGGTACAAAATTTTTAAACTCATTAAATTCAGTTTACCCATTTGTAATTTTTTAGGTACTAAAAGTTCCTAATTTATATATGATAGAGACAGTTGATAGTGAAAAATTGGCTAATTCGTTAGATTCAGCTTGGGGAAAATTGAATAAGCCAGACAAAGAACCTTTACGCGTTTTGGTTCAGGTGAATACAAGTGGAGAAGAAGGTAAAATTATTCTAAATTGGTTTTGAAACTCCTTGTAGGCACTTATATAGTTGCATATTAATTTTTATAAAATTGTAAAATTTTTATAATTTTGTAGGAAAAAATGGTATTCAACCAAGTGATGCTGTTAAATTATATAGTCATATAAAAGATAATCTGAAAAATTTAAATGTTAATGGCATTATGACAATTGGTGCATTTGGTCATGATTATTCAACTGGACCTAACCCAGATTTCATCAGTTTAATGAAAGTTCATAAAGAATTAACTGTAAAGTTAAATATAGAACCACATCAACTTCAAGTTTCAATGGGAATGTCAGATGACTTTGAACAAGCTGTAAGTAATCGTAACATGAATAAGTTATGTACATAACCATAATACCATAATACATATATGTATACATAACTGCTTCTTCATTTTAATTAACTATAAATTAACTTCTACTTCTAAATAGCGAAACTTCTTAAAAAAAAGCGTACATATTTTATTTTTTAAAATTTGGGATCGTGTTTTCTTTATAAATTCATTTTGATATTCAATAATTAATTCAATTATAAATTTACCGAAATCAAGAAAATATATTTAACAAAATTGAAAATTTTAAATTCACGGCAATTTCGAAATTTACTGGAATTATATTTCCAATTTTTTCAAAAATAAAAATTAATTTTTTCCCAATTATTTTTGAAGGCTGATATTTATTTGACTTTGAGTTCAATAGTTTTTGAAGTTAATTTAAAGCAAAATTTATTTCAAAGTCTTAGGTATATATACATATTTTGTTGTCGTTAAATAGATATTCTTTTTCAGATTGAGGCAGGAAGTACAATTGTTAGAGTTGGAAGTTCTATTTTTGGCCACCGTGCGAAGAAAATTTAAATCAAAATTCCATGTGTTTTAGTTATTTTTGGCGATCGCCGAAAGAAAGCTTAAATCAATTGCAACTAGATACAGAGGCATATATGTACATATATACGTATAATGAAACTGCATGCTATATTTTTTTCAATAATCCAATAAAAAACCTTGTAAATATACTATACGTTGAAATAAAGGACTAGTTTAGAAGATTATTCAGTTTATCTACTTTATTTTTAGTAAAGTTAATAAAAATATTTTCTACATACTCGTTTCGTACACGATTGATTTATTGTTACTTTCAAAAACAACCTAGAAATTATGAAAACACATATATTGCGATATATGTATGGTTTTGACTTTGAACCATGTTAGGTAAATATAAGTGTCTTCCATTGTTTAGTTATTTTATTGTTTCTTGTCTATTTAATTTACATTTTTCTATTTAAATTTCTTCAATTCATTTTTTGATTCCAAAATATTAAATTGAATTTTTAATTTAAAAAAACAGCCTCAAGAATGCGTATGTTTTGATCATGAAAGGTATTAAAAGTGAGAAGGTGCTCTTAAGATTCGCATAAACCCTAATAATAATATAGAAATATAAAAAGTAACCATTATATTTTTATTGGGTTGGTTCAAATTGGTAAAGTTTGTAAAAATGCTTTAATAATGATTGTTCTTAGTTTTATTCTAAAGATTTAGGCATTTTCAGCGAAATAAAAATGGTGAATTTTAAATTAGTACATAATTTGTACATATTTTGCACATAAGAATACTGGGCACTGAACTAATAAAATAAATACATAAAAGAAATTTCCTATATATACATAAACTTAATTAACATTTTAATTGTTTTAAGTTCTAAGTTATAAACATATTTATGGCTACGTTTTAAAAATGGATATAGCAATTAAACGTAACTCAATTAAAAATATACAAATTCATACATAGGTTTATACATACATTCAAATTTTATTAGAAAATATAGGAGATTTATTATAGAAAATTGCTATTCATATGAAATTTGTACATTTGTATAGAAATTGAGGTTCAAGCTGCCAATAGTAAAATTTTTAGATATGTAGCTCCTTTTATTTTTGTTTTTAAATTCGAATATTATGTGCATAAAAAATTTTTGTTATACGTCTGTAATTCAAAATATGTATTTTTTTGGATTATTATATGAATGTATGTATATATATGTTAGTTATTTATTTTCTATAACTAACCTATAGAAAGATCTTGAAGGAAGAATTTAAAGTTTTACTTCGACCTATTTGATTTTTTAAGCGTAAACTCGTTAGTAAACAAAGAATTAAGTTATTTCAGTAAACTAATCATAGGGAAGAAACAACTATTGGTATTAAGGTCTTACTATGGAATGTAATATAGAAAATTTTTTTAAAAAATTTTTATTCTTAAAATAGAAATGCTATAGCGTTTCTTGTATAAAATTTTAAAAATAAAGGTAGGTTTAAAGATAACGTGATGGTATTAAGGAAAATTCTTTTAAATTTTGTAAGTTTTCAAAAGAAGTGCTTAACATAATAAATAATTATGTTGAAATGAAGGTACTTACAAAATTCGTATAGAGTAATAGAATATGTAATATATAATTTAAAATTTTATTCAATATATGTACAAATATGTTAATATTGTTAATTAAGAATTAATTCGCCTGATTTATAGTACCTATAGTAATTATTGTGGAAGCTAATAATTAATAAGCAAATGAGACTTTCATAAACAAAATTTTATTACGGGGAGCATTCAACTATGTAGCCATGCAAGCTCGGCCCGCCGTGAACAATTTAGCTCACCTATAGTCGGAGGGCACTCGCAGAGATAGTGAAAAATGGTTTCGTTCTTACCTAGTTTCCGGCAGCTGCGACACGTTTTGTTGAAGGGTCATCACAACATGCAAGGTATTGTGTTAAAGCGATATTTTAATGCAAGAAGAATATTATTTCATAATATTATAAACAGATTTATATGTACATAAATGTGTACTATAGGGAAAATTCTATCCTTATATTTATAAATACGAGTATGTGTACATTTTTAAAATATAACTCCTTAGATTATGATCATATTATTCTAGCAAATAATTAAATAAAAATATTTCAAAAATTTAACTAAAAAAAAAATTATTAAAAATTTCATTCGGAAAAATTTTTTAATAAATCAATAGTGCCATAAAAATTTACTTTTACAAAAAATATTTGAAGATTTAAAAATTTAATGAAAATTTGTAGGCGCCGCTGGTGAATATGCAAGTTGCGTGGAGCATATACATAAATACAATTATAACGTAAGATAACGTTTTTAAGATTTATATACAGCTTCAGCAGATATAAAACAGGTATATGCACACTTATGCAAACTTGGACACAAAATTTTTATTGCATTTCTAGAAATATTATTAACAAAACTTAATTTTGCTTATGGGTCTTATAAATTTTTAGATTAGAATATAAGATATAGATGAGACATAGACCAAATATTTTAGAATCATTGCACGTTTCCCTTTAACTTTGTAATTCAAAAATAGTTACATCAATTTTAAATATTTTATTATGAATATTTCGAAATTGACTAAGAAATTTATCATTAAAGAAATATTCATAAGGTCTTTCTTTGTTTATTTTTGGAATAAGTATATATTTCAAAAGCTATAGAATTTTTTTTTTTGGTATACCTACATTAACATACATTCTGTGTGTAGGTTTGTTTATTTTAGAGTTCGATATACGAAAAGAAAATTCAAAAATTTTTAATGTTATTTTCAAGGTGTTTCGTGCGTCTACATTTAAATATTATGTAAAATTTTGTATACTTAATTAAATTCTATTTTGTTTTTTTTTTTTGGCTAAGAACAAAATTAAGGATTTTAGACATTTTTAAACACATAATCGAGCTTGGATGTTTTAAAAATGTGATTTAAGTCGCTATAGCTAGGTTTTACTGTTATTTAAATGAGACGGTGCTTTATCCAAACTTTGTAAATATTTCATATTAGTAAATGCATAATTAAATGTAAAGAGCATATTTACAATTTTTAATAAATTATAAAAAAGTTTGGCCTTTTTAGGGCTACTTAATTGCAAGATATGTAAGCAATGGATATGGAATTTTTGATATTCCGGTCGAAATGTAAAAAAAAAGTGGTTTAAAATTAAACGTTCGGAAATATACCATTCAAAAAGTGGACGAAATGAAAAATTACTATGTGATTTGCTTTAGTTATAAGAAACTCATTTGACTAAATTCTTGTATTTTCAACTGGATTTTTAATTGGATTGCGCCAATTACTATCTTTTTTTCAGGTTTTCCCTTTGAAAGTGATTTTTTTTTCAAAGTGGTCCAATATAGGATTTTATTGTTGAAATATTGGAATTTTGGTGACGTATGAATTATTATGGTGAGATAATATTTCAAAAATCGTCACTTAAAGTTACTTTATTTTCAGTTTTATGTTTATGGAAGAATTTCAGTACATGTTCCAATTATGTTTCGCAAGTTTTGTGTTGATATTTTCATTATGATCCCTACGGTTATATTTAAGCTTTTCACAATGGCATGTTAAGCTGCCGATTTTGAATTCAAAACAGTTTAAATTTGAATAAATATTTATAAAATTCATAAGATAAGAAATATTTAAAACCATTCTAAAATTTCTTTTACAATATTATAAATTTTTGTTTAAAAAATCGATGATATTTGAGAAAATATTTTGAATAAATTAATCATTATGTCAATCAATTCCTTTTTTGTTATTTTCTAATTTAAAAAAAAAAAAAACAAAAAATTGAAGATTGCTGGACCTGACTATATTCTTATATGCATACCAGTGTATGTTTGAAATCTATAACTATATAAGTATAGTATCATTAAATTTATTCAAGGTGCTCTTTTATTGCAAAATTCGCTTAAAATTTCGTTAAATATAAGTAATTTTAAATAAAAAAAAAAAAAACAATTTTTGTTTTGTTGGCATTTTAGAATATTTTAATTTGAAAATATTTATGTATATGACACACAATTATATATATATATTGTTCAATTATATTTTAAAAATACTTTCATTTATTTTATTTTAAAAATTTTACATCTTATTATTTTAAAAAACTGAGTGTTTTGTATGTATATAATATATAAGAGTCGTACATTTTATGCTTGTTTAATTGGGTTACCTTTGATATTTAGGAGCATTTAAAAATTTCGTCTTTTCGTTTTGTCTTTTTTTAATTTCTTTAAAATACTATCATTTTTTATAATAATAATAATTTTATTTAAACACTAGCTAGCATAAGAATAGCATATATGTAATTATTTTATTCAAATATAAACGTAATTTTTTAAAACTAAAATTCTTTTAAATAAAAATTTAAAAAGTAAAGCAAAGAATTATTCTTATACTTGTATAAAATCGAAATTATATATTTAATCAATAAACCATTTCAACTTTTGTTTCAGGAATTTGAAATTGTTTTGTATTTGAATCCGGTTGATCCGATTGTTGATTATCTGTTTGTTGCTGTTGCTCTTGTTGTAATTTAATAGCATCAGCTTCATTTAATGCTTTCTGTTCTTCTTTTTGTTTCTTTAAACATTGTTCTAATTCACCGGGTGTTGTTATATGAATTTCTGGTGGTAATTTTTGAGGATTTGGTGAACGTGAACGTGAACGTAAATGTGGTGTATGTGTTAATCTAACTGATAATTCTGGTGATTCTAAACCATAATGTTCAGCTAATGATGAAAATTCACCATTTGGACAATGACATATATATTTTCTCATATCATGCTGTTTTTGTGTTAATACGTAATATTCTAATGATAGATCCCGTTTACGTTGTCTTATTTCTTGTAATTTTTCACGTACATGTTCACGTTTTTTACCCCAATTTTCAATTGATTTTAATAAATCATATTTTAAACTAAAATCATTTGATGTTGCATGTAAATCACATAATTCTTTATGTTCAATTTTTAATTGTTCATTAAATTTTTCATACATTTCTTCTAATGCTAATATTTCTTCGGCATCATCAACAATATATTCTTTATTAAATATTGTGAAAAAATAATCTAATATTCTTGTTACTGTCTTTAATTTATTATCAGATTGTATTTGTAATAAATTACATAATTTCTCTTGAATATCATCATTAATAAAACCCATTATAATATTACGTCGACAAAAATATAC